GTTTTGTTTACTTTGTAGATGATGAAGTTAACAAGTCTCAATGTTGAATAAATAGTGCATTTGTTACTCTTTGTCTTCCGAATTTGTCAGGTTATTCKTGAGTTGTCTTGTCCAATTGCATTGTTTACGTATTACAATCCAATCCTAAGGCGAGGGATTGAGAACTACATGACTATTATAAAGAATGCTGGAGTTCATGGTACACTTACATTTTCAAGTTTTCTCTTTAACGATCAGTTTCTACACCCATTTGCCTATGTTTATTCTTGGTTTCTGTCTCATTTCATAGGGCTTCTTGTTCCTGATGTTCCACTCGAAGAGACTGAGACTCTGAGGAACGAAGCTCAAAAGCATCAGATTGAACTTGTATGATGTTCTTCTCTATAAGATAACATGATCTTTCATAGCAAACTGTTTCCTTCCCTTTACTGTATTTACTATGTTGTTGTCCTCAAGGTACTGCTCACAACACCCACAACCCCGAAAGAACGAATGAATGCCATTGTTGAAGCATCCGAAGGATTCATCTATCTCGTAAGAATCACAGTTTCGCGACTCTTTAGATCAGTAAATGATGCTTAAGTTTCGTATTCTTATGCGGGAATGTTGTTATCGTGCTGCTCTTTTCAGGTAAGCTCAGTAGGAGTTACTGGTACAAGAGACTCTGTTAATGAAAAAGTTCAGTCTCTTCTACAACAAATCAAAGAGGCCACAAGCAAACCAGTCGCAGTTGGCTTTGGCATATCGAAACCTGAGCATGTGAAACAGGTTTGGCTGCACATACACTAAATTAGTAATATCTTGGCATATGGGTTAATCTGACTCGAATTGTTTCACATTACAGGTAGCTGAATGGGGAGCAGATGGAGTCATTGTAGGCAGCGCGATGGTTAAGATTTTGGGCGAGGCTGAATCACCTGAGCAAGGACTTAAGGAGCTAGAAGTGTTCACTAAATCTTTGAAATCTGCTCTTGTCTCTTGAATACACAATGATTCTCTTAATTTATAATGCAAAAGAACCAGACGGTGTTACCATTGCTTCTTAGTAATATAACATCCATCTCCAAATAAAAATCAAGAGTTATACATTATTGAAAATTTCAAGGTTCTGAAAGGAGAAATACAAGAGTGTCAAAAACAAACAAATGATATATAGGCTCAGCAAGCTCGCATAACGTATATGTTTAACGCTGTGACACGGATTCCGCAGAGAAGAGGTACTTGACACGGGAGAGAACCGAATCATGTGCAGGATCATAGGGATGGTCCTTGGAAGGGATCTCCAATATTGCCGGAACTGGTTTGTTGTAGCTATCGACCAAGAACCGGATCATATTGGCAACCTACAAGAATAAAATTTTCTCATTATGTTTTTGACATTGTAGAAAAAAACAGACATTGAAGAACACATCAAACTATGAATGATATGTCTCAAAAGGCTGATGCAAAGTGGGCTCAACTTCTGTTTCTCCCCAGATTTGGATCCAATAATACTAAATGCTGGGAAAAGGATATACCCTACATAATGGTGACCTTGATCCATGAATAAAAGGGTGCAAGCAAGGAAGACATTTATTAATGGCAGTAAACATAAGGGGCTGAATAAAGTGGAGGAGTACAAGCCCTGACCTCTTTGATAACGACTCGAATAACACCGGACAGACACAGCAGTAAAGATGAGTAACAAGTACAAGTATACTGAACTTGGAAGAAAAATACTTACATATTGGCTTATGAGAATGATAGCAATATCATCCCTAGATGAGAATTCCTTGAAAGCATCCTCAATTTGTCTCACAGTTGTCTCTATAAGACAAAAAAAAATGAAAGAAATGGGATAAATCAATTAATTTAGGCGACTAGACAGTAATTGTACAAATCTACAGATATAGAAGTTACGAAAGTTATCTCCTAACAAGACTACTACGTGAAATTGATTTGATGGAAAAATTCAACTAACTTGGTTTTATCAAAAGGATACCACTTTGAGATAAGTGACATAACTTGATACATGATTGAAAGATTATCTTTCCTAAAGATCATTATGAGTTTAAAAAGCATACTTGAATCCACGATGAGGTAATTTGTCTTCCTCCTTATGTCAACATTACCAACTCCAGCCATCAAAAATCCAACTACAGTGTCCTGTATACAAAATTTTAAACAAGTATGAGACACTGAAGATTACTAAAGGTTATACCAACCGATCGTTTCAAACAATTCTGCCATTAATTGGTTGAAAAAGAGTGTCACCAGTGACAGTAAGTATACAAGGAAGAACTTCCAAGTCAAATCTAAATTAAGAGACTTGGCATTTTCTTTTGGTAACTCGATAGAATACCGTTGAGTAACTCCAATTTTCAAGCAACAACAGTCAAAATCAAACACAGAAAAATCCATGTTTTAGCTGGTTAAATCTTCTCGTCCCTTGCTATTCAATGGCAATAAAGTGTCTAGAAGAATGCAAAGAAGATTTCTACTCATCACGTAGAATCAACATTCAGCGAAAGAAAATCTGATCCGATCCGATCCAAAACCAAAGAGACACACAAAACTACGAGTCAGATTACAAATTTCACAAATAAATCTTAAAGTCAAGCAATTTACAGATGGAAAAATTAAACCCACAACGCATTGATTTAAGTTCAGATCAAATCTCAGAGATTCAAAAACTCAACCCTAAGATCCAAACGACAAAATCAACAGCATCTACTGATTCATCAAACCAACAAAACTCAAATTCTCAATCAAAAGAAGAGTTTATTCGTAACGGATATTACCTCATCGGCAATCATAGCAATGAGGGCAGAGTTGCGAGTAGGGATTGAAACTCTCCCAGCCATATTGATTCAACTACACACGAATAAACAAAAAACCCAGAAGAAACAAAATCAATCGAGCGAAGACAATTATCGAAATTGGGTATAAACCCTAATCAATTTCCTGATCTTAGATCGGAAAAAACAAGCTTCGAAGATGGAGAAAAAAAGCTTCTAGATTTCACTCATTACCTCTTTTTCTCTGAATCTTTCTCGTTTCTTCGATTTTGATTGATAGATTCGTAATCAGTACCAAAAGACTCACGCGCAAAATCAGAAACACAAACCCAATTGACTATATTACCCCTGCTCTCTCAACCTAACAACGATACTACCCTCTTGTAATAATTGCACTTTAATAGTGACAATGGCAAAAGTGTAAATATATACTAAAATAAAATGGTGGGGGTAATAAACGTTAATGAGTGCAAGTCCCATCAAAGCCAGCTTGCCTTTTTCCAAGGGTAATTTCGTCTTTTTAATATCTCTTTCTTTGTCTCTACTTGAGAAAAACCTCTGTGATATTAATATGTGAAGCAGAACAAAGCAGAGAGATATATATCACAGAGAAGAGTGAAGCTTTTTCTGCAATGGCGGATTCTCATTCTCTCAACAATCAGCTCTCGAGACACACTTCTATCTTTGGTTTGCGTTTATGGGTCGTTCTCGGCGTTTGCGTTGGAGCCGCGATTGTTCTTTTGCTGTTTCTCATTTCTCTCTGGTTCATTTACAGACGAAGCAATAGCAACAACAACAACAAATCTCTTGATTCTTCGTCAAAATCGAATCATACAATCGTCCCTGTTGTTTCCAAGGAGATTCAAGAGATTCGGGTCGACCCATCTCGACCTAATTTCAACCCAATTCAACCCGACCCATCACCGGAGACAAACCAACACCACCAAGCTTCGGCTAGAGAAGACGACACGAAAATCCACATCGAAATCGGAAAAGATCACCGGATTTCGTACCCGGAGAGAGGAGGTTGGACTGGTTCCGGGTCAGGTTCCGGGTCGGGTGATCAGGGTTTATCGGGTCCTGAGGTTTCTCATTTAGGTTGGGGACATTGGTACACGTTGAGAGAGCTTGAGGTTTCTACGAATGGATTCTCCGACGAGAATGTGATCGGACAAGGAGGTTATGGGATTGTGTATAGAGGTGTTCTTGAGGATAAATCAATGGTGGCTGTAAAGAATCTGCTAAACAACAGAGGACAAGCTGAGAAAGAATTCAAAGTCGAAGTCGAAGCGATTGGAAGAGTGAGACACAAGAATCTGGTGAGATTGCTTGGTTATTGTGTTGAAGGAGCTCATAGAATGTTAGTTTATGAATATGTTGATAATGGTAACTTAGAACAATGGCTTCACGGTGATGGGTTAGGTTTAAAGAGTCCTCTTACTTGGGATATTAGAATGAACATTGTTCTTGGAACAGCTAAAGGGTTAATGTATTTACACGAAGGTCTTGAGCCTAAAGTTGTTCACCGCGATATCAAATCGAGTAATATCTTGCTTGACAAGCAATGGAACGCTAAAGTTTCAGACTTTGGCTTAGCTAAGCTCTTGGGTTCAGAGATGAGCTATGTGACGACTCGTGTGATGGGTACATTCGGGTATGTAGCTCCTGAGTATGCGAGTACCGGGATGTTGAATGAGAGGAGCGATGTTTATAGCTTTGGTGTTCTTGTTATGGAGATGATTTCAGGGAGGAGTCCTGTGGATTATAGCAGGCCTCCGGGAGAAGTGAATCTTGTGGAATGGTTGAAGAGAATGGTGACGAATCGAGAGGCGGAAGGAGTTTTGGATCCAAGGTTGATTGAGAAACCGTCGTTGAGGTCATTGAAGCGTACTCTTTTGGTAGCTTTAAGATGTGTTGATCCTAATGCTCAAAAGAGACCAAAGATGGGTCATATCATTCACATGCTTGAAGCTGAGGACTTAATCTCTAGAGATGATCGGAGAAACTCCGGAGGAGGAGGAGGAATAGATCCCGGAAGGTCACCGCGGAAGTCGAAGGTGAATGAAACAGAGAGTGAGAGTGGTGATTCTCTGATCAACAATGACCAGTTAGCTATGGAGAAGGAGAATCAGTAAAAGAGAGAAGCCTTGGCATTATAATTTTGTTAATTATATTTAGAAGTTTTTTTTTTCTTGTGTGTATGTGTGTAGATTCTTGTAATTTTGCAATAATTGAAAATGTGGCTTGAGCAAAAAAAAATCTATATGATTAAGTGGGGACTCTGTTGTAGTATAGCCTACATACTTTAAATAGTGATTATTTGTGGTGACATTTTTGTTAAATGTCTTTTGATTTTATGTTTATAAATATAGCCATATAGGGTTAGTTAGCTCTATAATTAGAGACTGTAAAAAGATTAGAGAATTTGCCCTTAATATCCAAAAATACTTATAATATTGGAAAAGTAACCAAAACCCCTATAGTTTTTTAAAAGAATCCCCGCAATTTAATCATTTTTCTAATTATAAAAGTTTTTTGGGTTATTTAGCAAATTTAAGATTAATTATTATAAGAAGTTTTCAATATAATTTTCAATATATTACTCTATATATATATATTTTTTCAAAATAGTGATTTTTTGTTATGTTTTTGA